CAGAAGCAATATGGATAGATGTGCAGTACAAATTTGGGAAAAGGCAGCTGCAAGGCATGGTGGGGCCTCAGCAGCATAGGCCTGTGAGACAGAAGTCTGGGGCTCTATGTTTACAACACCTACCAGCTAGTTCCCCATGCATACATTCTCTCTCTCTCTCTCTCTCTCTCTCTCTCTCTCTCTCTCTCTCTCTCTCTCTCTCTCTCTCACACACACACACACACACACACACACACACACACACACACACACTCAAACACTATATACACTTCTTTTTCAACAAGTTTGAAACCATCAGTAGAGTACGCCAGTATACCAGTGCCCCCATGATCTAGGACTGCTTTCATGGACACACCCTGAAGTGTGTTCTGGTACTACTCTCTCAGTGTCTCAACCTTACCAAGATGACAATCATGGTTAACCATTACAATTTCCCAGAAACTGACCAAAAAAAAAAACAGTAAGTTCAAAACATCCCAAGTAAAGGTAGGATGGGTGTTGAGTAGGAAACTGAGAGACAAGGGGATGGATGATGTGGGAAGAAGGCTGCCCTTTGCGACATTCCCTGGCTGGTCAGACTCTGCAGGCAGAGCAGGGAGCAGCTTGTGCCTTGGTGCTTGGTGGGGACCACAAACTATTTATGAGCAATCTTTTGGGAGAACCTCCTTGTGTGGTCATCTGCCCATCTCACCAATCTCACCAGGTTGTTATATCCTCTAAGTTTTTCTTGTCTTGACAACTGGCATGGCAGAAAAAGACACCATCTGGAAAAACAACACATTTGTGGCTCTCTCTTGCCCCCACCCAAAGCACACTGTCCTTCTCCCTTCAGTAGCAGGATGTGACCTGGCAGGGGACAGTCTTGACCTAGCTTTGGGAGCAGCAGAGGAGCCCAACCCTAGTGTTTTCTCCTTAAATACAAGCAGAAATCTTGGCTTCAGAGCCTCTCTTGTTTCACTTGTGCCATCATCTGTCTGTAAATTAAATCTAACAAGACCTCAGTGAAGTCTATGACACCTGAAGGGAAAAAGAGAATGTGGTCTCTCTATAAACCTCTGATTGTACCCTGGTTCTGTCACCTCCTCTCAGTGCTGATGACTAGAAGGCTTGTCGGTGTGGCTGTTTGATCTGTAGGAAAAGAATCAACTCCATATTCACAGTTTTCAGCAATGGAAGACAAGTGCTTATAGCCTTGATTCAGCTTGAATGTATCAGTCTCTTCCCTATCTTGCAATTCATCACCTCTGTTTCTCTCAAGTCACAGTGATAGTCTTACCATGTACGGATACTGGGAGGAGTTTAAATGATGGGGAAGTGCCAATGTTTGGATGACTTCATCACTGCAGCTTCTTGTGGTACAACAGGGGCTTGTTTTAAGAACCGTATCACTGGAGGCTGGGGAAATGGTTCAGTTATTAAAGTGCTTGCTGTGCAAGCAGGAGGACCTGAGTTTGATTCCCAGCACCCACATGAAAAGCCAGGTGCAGCAGTGTGTGCACGTGTAATCCCAGCACTTCAGGAGTGAAGCCAGGAGGATGCTGGAGCTCACTGGCTAGCCCGTTTATCTAAATTCCTGGGCTCCAGGTCCATTGAGAGACCCTGTCTCAAAAAATAAGGTGGAGCACAATTGAGAATGAGGAAGACAGCCAACATCAACCTATGGTTGCACAAACACACATGGCATGCACAGAAAGCATGTATTTATATACTTATAGCCAAATCCTGGTGCTGTAAGGGAGGGACAAAAGGATTCCTGGGACTTGCTGGCCAGCCAGTCCATCCTAATCTGCAAACCCCAGGTGCCAGTGTGGAACTCTGTCTAAAATAAAAATTAAAAGCCAAGCAGGGGTTGTGCATGCCTTTAATGCCAGCACTCGGGAGACAGAGGCAGGTGGGTCTCTGTGAGTTCGAGACCAGGCTGGTCTACAAGAGCTAATTCCAGGACAGCCTCCAAAGCTTACAGAGAAACCCTGTCTTGAAAAACCAAAAATAAAAAAAATAAAATAAAACAAGGATTCTGGCTTAGGGGTACACGTCTCTAATATCAGCATTCTGGGGCTTGGGGGTAAAGGCAGGCAGATCTCTGAGTTCGAGGCCAACCAGGTCTACAGAGTGAGTTCTAGGACAGCCATAGCTATATAGTGAGACCCTGTCTCAAAAAATAAAATAAAATAAAATAAAATAAGGTGGAAGGTTATCTTGAGAAACAACATTCAAGATTGACCTATGGCTCCTGCCCACATGTACACTCAGATAACATACAAACAAAGATGACAGCTTTATCTCTAAGTTTATGTCCACCCTAAACAAAACAGCAAGGCACACAGCTACCAGCAGCAAAAAGACTTTGGAGAAGCAAGTACGTCTACCTGGGCTCATTGCTGTCTTGCACAAAACAAGAGGACAAACTCTGGGTGGAAATTGTTTAGTTTCAGTTAACCTATGCATTAAAATCATTATTCTTTTACCAATGAAGCTCAGTGGCATAAAGCCACTTGCCCAGTTAACATGACCAATAAAGGCATGAATCAAAATTGGGAAAAGAATTTGAGTAATTCCAGAGTCCTTATACTTTGTGCACTATGAATTTGAACAACAAAACCATGAACCACACACATATGAACATACATGAGGCTACATGTGTGTCATGGCTTGGAGTTGAAGTGATCTTGAAGGTTTGTGTGTTTAAGGCCTGGTTGCCAGTGGAAAGGTTTTTTAGATCATGGGTCTCTGACCTCATTGGTGGGTTGTAGTTCAAGATGAGAAATCTCAGCTTCCTGAAGCCATGCCTTGGCTCTGCCATCATGAATTCTAACTCTCTGGAACCATAAACTCAAATAAACTTTGATCTGTAAGTCGTCTTGATCCAGTTGTTTTTATGACAGTAATAGAAAAGTAACCAATACAAAAGGTGTATCTTGTCTTTGGTAGTGGCGAGGGCAGCTTCTTCTTGTTCTTCCTCCTCACCTTCCTCTTTCTCCTTTCCTCCTCTTCCTTACTGTCTCCCTTTCTGTCTCTGTGTCTATCTGTGTCTCTGTCTCTCTCACTGTCTCTCTGTGTTTTTCTATCTCTCTCGATCTCTCTCTCTTTCCCTCCTCCCTGACTGCTATGCAGTGAGCATCTTTCTTCTCCACCATGATGCTTTTGATTCATCAAAGCCCTAAGTGACAGGACTGATTGACCTGAGTGACTGTGTGACATAGATCAGAAACTTCCAAAACTATGAGCCAAAAGGTATTTTTATCCTTGATGCTGATCTTCCCAGGTAGTTTATCACAGCGATGAACAACTGACCAAAGTGGAGACACAACACTCACAAACATGTCTGTCATTCACAGGGTGCAGACCCAGAGAACAGTCCAGCACTTGCTGGTAATTTCCAGTCCTTTCAACCCTTCCCCCACATCTGTCACTCACCACAAACATGACACAGTTCATAAACAGGTGAAAGTCCCTGTTTTTTTCCCAATCTCTCACAGACCACCATCCTTGATGGCTCTTGTGTAACTCCCCCAAGCATCCCTACTTCTTTTCTCTTTTCCCTTTTACTCTTTCACCAGCTGTAAGACCTTAAAGAATCCACCTGGGCATAGAGTCTACCTTGAAGAATGAAGAAGAGAGAACAAGACATCGATTTAGAATTCTTTGAGAGCCAGGTGTTGGTGGTGCATGCCTTTCTTTAATCCCAGAACTCAGGAGGCAGAGGCCAGGTGGATCTCTGTGAATTGTCTGCAAGAGCTAGTTCCAGGACAGCCTTGAAAGCCACAGAGAAACCCCATCTCGAAAAAACAAAATAAATAAATAAATAGAATTCTTTGTTACCAGCAAGTGCTGGACTGTTCTCTGGGTCTGCACCCTGTGAATGACAGACATGTTTGTGAGTGTTGTGTCTCTACTTTGGTCAGTTGTTCATCGCTGGGATCACTTGAATGTCAATAATTTTGGTCTTATAATTGCATATATTTTTCTTTGTATCTGAATCTTTCTTTGTATAGTGTAATTCATTGTGAACACTTTCTGGGAAGTTTCCTTTGCTGTCTTGAAGCCACTGTAGATGCTGTCCAAGAATGAAATGCTTCTAATTCATTACTGAGAAATGCATGAATATGAACTGACTATCTAGTCTGCATGGCTGGCTCCTTCACAGGGTTCTGGTTTTGTTCAGACCTTTATACCACCCTCAGGCCCTACTATTACAAGGCTTTATTTTTACCTTCTGTTGGTTTTTTTTTTTTTTTGATTTGCAAATACTGGGTATTGAACATGAGGACTTACACATGCCCAGCAAATGCTCCATCACTGTGCTATATTTCCAGACCCTGTTTTTTGCTTCCCTATTTTGCTTTCTAGTGCCTGAACTGACCCTACGCAATTTGCAGTTCTATGTAAGTGATATACACACATCTGTAGCAAGCTCTATTCCTGCTCCATGTTGCCACCAATAATATTGAATGCATGAATTAGTGACCTGGTTTATTCTGAGTTGTGGCAGTGATTCACAGAAGGTCAGTTGGAGAGATCCAGCTTGACTTTCTAGAAGGCACAGAGACAGTGATTCTGGAAGCAACTGTGCTATACCCAGTGAGTCCCTGCACAGAGTTCTACCAGCCCATTTTCAGCTTATGTGGGGAAAGCAGAGTTGTCTGAGCCACTGAACTATTCAGCCTTGGTGGTGCCATGGCAGTGTCACAGAACTCACAATTTACAGGGATCAGGGAGCCAGAGGGGCAGAGAGGCTGGTGGTAGTCATGGGATGGAACTGGCAAGGGACATGTCTGAGAGAAAGGAGCTGAGAGGTAAGTTGGAGCTGGACCTCCCTTGTCTACTCCCTGCCCTTGCTCCAGGTCTTGTCTCTCTTTAGAATTCTGTGTTTATTGGCTCCCAGGACCAGGGCATAGTGCACATAGCCAGGAATGTTACAAGACAGAGCCTCAGGGCCTGATCATCAGGGCTTCTAGCCCCCATGGGCAATAGAACTGATGGTGACTCAATGTCTTTATGACTCCTTCCAGCTTCTCTTCCTCTCTGCTCCTGTTCCGGCCATCAGCAGGCTTGGGGCTATAGCTGACTCACAGCTGAGCTCCCCACCCCTCCTGCTGACTCATGGCTTCCTCCAGCTGACTTCTTTATCTCCTTTGCAGCAGCCTGGCTTCTCCTGTCTTGGGGCTGGCTTTTCTTGTATCCTTGTATTTCAGCTCCAACCTCTACTACCATCGCCCAGACTCTCTCACTGTCTCCCAGTATAAATTCCCTGGGTCAGACAGGCTACTGGCCAGCTGCATAGGTAGTTTCTCAGAAGAGTCAGGCCTTTGGCTACCATTAACCCACAGGCTGCCTCCCTACCTGACTCTTATCAGCTGGGGCTTTGGGGGACATCAAGGGCATCATTTGGGAAGACCACCTCAGTCAGTGCACCTCAGAAGGAAGGAACATGCAGGCAACATGATGGGCATGTCTATCAATGCCCTCCATCTGCCTAATGTTACAGGTGGTACCCTGGCCTGGCTGTGTTCCTGGTATACTCTGCCATCTCCACTCAGGTGTCACCTTGGTTGGGTTCTCCCAGACCCACAAATGCCACTTCTCCATTTTTAGAGCTGCTAATACTCTTAGTCTCATTTGCCTGAAAGCTTCTGATGACATTTTGCTTTCAGACCTTTGTGTAGAAGATAGAGTAATGGTCCATAGCTCATGGACCCTTTATATGACTCTTTTGTAGCAAAAGGGATGCTGCTGAGATGATTTGCTGTAGAACACTGCCTTCAGGCACAGCAGCCATTATCAGCTTAGAAATGCTGTGGTTACTTTAAGACAAGTTGAAGTCTATTGAAGGGAAGGGAGTCGAAGGGTCATTAGACCCTCACCTGAAAGTCTAGTCATTTTCTATCTCTCTGGCCCCTTTCCAGATCTACACAATCCTGCTCCAGCCACACTGTGCCCTCAAGAGATGAAAAGTTGCTGAAGGAGGAACTCCATCTGTGTAGCTATGAGGAAGTTGTCATTTATGCTAGGGTGAAATATTCCAACCATGCAGCTGTTTGGGAGTGGAATATGCTACCGTAAGTAAGCTCAATAAACCCATTGGTCCATCAGGGATCTATCCAGACAATGTTGGGACCTAGATCAGAGAGGGGTGTAGGGAGTCACCCTAGCCCCGCCCAATAGTCCTGGGGCAGGTACCAGGTGGACCTGGGGACTCGCCCATAAGGGCGGGGTGAAGCAAAGCCGGGATGACATAAAGGGGGCTTCTTAAGGGACTGCACGTGGGGACGGGGCTCTCTCTTTGTTCTGGCCGCGCTGGCTGTGTTCTTAACCTAGCTCTGGCCTGTGTTTCACCCGGCTGTGCTTGGAAATAAAGAGACCTTAATCCAATAGAGGGGGTATCAGTGATGCAAGGTACAGTTGCGGAAAACCACTGCTGTGCTCCACCCCCAAAACTATAAGGTATTAGGCCCATTCTCTGTCAAGGCCCAGGATAGGTGAGAGTAAGAACAAGGCTAGATACAGCCTAAGGTCTCTGGAGGTAGGGGATTGGGGTTAGGGGGAGGTGGGAGGTGCTACTCGGGGAGGCATGTAGAGCTGAAGTTCTGGAATATGCCATCTCACAGACTGGAAGGTAAAAGCATGAAGAATTTCAAGATAGGGCCTGCTGAACTTGCAGTCACTGTCGTGGTTCCTATTTCTGCTTCTAAGCCCAAGGCCTTCTATGGATGCCCAGGTCACATGCCTCAGAAGCCAAACCCATCAGTTTTCCCAGATGCAGACTGACCAGCTACTGTCTACTTCCTGAAGCTGTGCCCTGCCTGTCCCGCAGGGTGGCAGTTACAGCCAGGCTCAGCTATGCTTCAGTCTGCACATCCACTGGCTGGCACTTCCTTGGACATTCTGGCCCCAGGAGGATAACCAGGAAGCCTAGGTCTCCCATAGAAATACTTTGCTGGGCCCATCACGTTCCCATTTCTCAGTGGCACCCTTCACACTTAGAGTAGTAACTATGGCCATGAAGATGACCTGCCTCCCCTGAGAGCTGCTGACCCAGCCAGCTGATCATCTACCTACCCAGACTGAGACTTTGGTTTAAGGCTCAGGGCCAAAAGCTGGACCACACCCCAGAGCTGTGGCTCTGCAAGCTGTGTTGGCTGGCCTCCATGATCCGTTCCTTCCCCCAAGGCCACAGCCCAGCTTCCTTCCTGCCTGGGCTCTCCTGCTATTCTTTCCTTTGCTGTACATACCCACTCACTAAATGGACTTTTCATTATTGCAGAGAAGAATGAGCTTGTTTGGAATACTGAACTCATGGGCATTCACATACGCACTGACAGTCTGCAGCCCTCGGTCCCATGAGGTTGATGCTGGCCCTGCCTCTCTTTATTTGTAGCCACCTGTTCTCTCTTTCCCCCTTTGGTCTGTTTCCTCATGGTGACTAAATTTGTCTGCAATGACCTGTGCATTTTCATGTCTAGTTAGTCATTTCCGCCTCCAGTGTGTAGAGCAGAGCAGAACGGAGTTGCCCCCACCTTCCTGAAGGCCTCTCTCAGGATGCTTCTGTCTCCCTACCACTCAAGGTCACCCCGATCTACACCTATGGGAGGGTTGGCTGAACCTGAGCTCTGAAAGCACCGCCTTCTTATCTGCTTCCTCTCAGCCACTGCTTTGTCTTAAAATAGGAATCTAAGACCGATATGCTTTACAGGCTGCTATGTTTCTTGGACTGAAGTCACAGCAGCGTGCACAGGCAGAAGCTATGGATGCTGCAACCGTGGTTAGGAGTTGGGCTCTGGTCTCAATGTCCTTGTCTGTAAAACGGGAGTTAGAGAAATAATTACATCACGGTGCTGCTGGGTGGCTAAGACCACGTCCTTCACTATTGCCTGGTGTCTGTCACGGGACTGAGATCCTTCATCACATCCTTATCACAAGTGCCTTCCCTGGCCTGCTTCTTGAGACTGACTAGGGGGTCTGGACTCACCGCCACAAAAACCCAGCTTGTTTGCAACGCTGGCTGGAACTTTGCTTATCCTCAAAGCCCACCCGGCTGTCAGTCCTCTTGCTGGAGGCTGGGACTTTTCCCATGCAGGCAAAGTGATTTGTTATTGATCATCCACTGCTGGTTTTGCTATTTGTGTGAAACCAAGGTTTTGTCCTTGTCCTCAGGGAGCTACCAGGGAGGACTACTGAATGACTGTTACAGACTAAATGCTGCCTACCCCCTTTCAAATTTGTCAAGTGAGACTGAAGAGAGTGGAGTGGGGTGTGAGGTGTAGAGAGCTCAACTGGGTCTTGACAGGGAACCAGGGAGCCACACCTTGTGGGGGCTGGCCATGATCCAGCGATTTTCCTGTCCCTAAGGCAGAGGTGGCATTTCCACCCTCTGAGTCACTTGGGTTTTCTCCAAGTGGAGGTGGCGATTGCACTAGCATGGTGAACCCAGAGTTCGTCTCTAGTGGAGGCAGCTCTGGGCAGCCAATTTAGAAACAAACCTGTTTGAATGTATCCACAGAGACCATTTATAGAATGTTCAAAGAGTGTTGACCATTCTATTGGGCACAGCTGGTGGGTTACAGACCATGGCCAGGTATTTGTGTTGGAATAATTAACATCTATGCACACTTTCCCCCAGCCAGCAAACATTTCAAGTGCTTCCTGCTAGTTCCTGCAGGAATAGGACACTCTTACACACACACACACACACACACACACACACACACACACACATTGTTTATATCTTGCTCTGTAGCTTAGGCTGGCCTGGAACTTGCAATGATCTTCCTGCCTTAGCCTGTCAAGTGCTGGGATTACAGACAAGAGCCATACCTGCTGTTTATTTTAAAAAGCTTACTTGGCAGGGCAGTGGTGGTGCACACCTTTAAACCCAGCACTCGGACAGAGGCAGGCAGATCTCTGTGAGTTTGGGGCTAGCCTGGTCTACAAAGTGAGTTCCAGAACAGCCAGGACTCTGAAACACAGAGAAATCCTGTTTTAAAAACAAAACAAAACAAAACAGTGTACTTGTATGTGTGCATGTTTGTGTGGTGTATGCATGTGTGTGCTGTTGTGCACACAGATGCCAGAGAAGGATGCCAGGCATCCTGCTCAATCCAGCTCCACCTTAGTTCCTTGAGACAGGGTCTTTTGCTGATTGCTGCCCAGGCTGGCTCTCTAGTAAGCTCCAGGCATCCTGTCTCTGTCCTTAGCTTTGGGATTACAGGTACACACAGCTGTGGGTGCATGGGGTTCAAACCTAGGTTCTCACATTTGTGAGACAAGCACCCTTCCTTGTATTCTAGGTTGGTATCAAACTCTTGGTAATCCTCCTGCCTCAGCCTCCCTAGGTCTAGAATTACAGCATGTGTCAACACAGCCAGCTCCTGTACACATTATCTTCCTTTAAACTTTGAAACAATCTCTGTTGGTAAACCCAATTTTAGAGAACCCATGGTCTTTGATTCTTTTTGGGGGGTGGGGTTCGAGACAGGGCTTCTCTGTGTAGCTTTGGAGGGTGTCCTGGAACTTGCTTTGTAGTCCAGGCTGGCCTTGAACTCACAGAGATCTGCCTGCCTCTGCCTTCCAAGTGCTGGGACTAAATAAGGGCATTTGTCACTACCAGCCAGACTGATTCTTATGATAAAGAGTTTATAGTTTAGGTAAGTCAGGAAATGCAGAATGGAGTCAAGGTCAAAGATAACATTGTACACATAACTGTGGTGAAATGGGAAAGCTTCAGTCATTTAGTGAACACTGGGTTTAGCAGGAGATAGCCTCCATTCTTTACCAGGTTCTGCCCAGAGTGCCCTAACCCGTACCTATCATTATGTTAATTTGCTGAACCCACAATTGAGTCATTTTTCATGCTCTGCCTCAGTTTCCAACTCAGTGTCCACTGCTGCGGACATAGAGGCTCTAAGAACAACTTGATAGCCTTCAAAGTCTGTCTGCTGGTTTGTCCTGGGAATGAGCTGGGGCTGAGGAGAGAAGCCAGATGGCTGCAACAGGGGAATGCCATAATAGCGATTGGTCTAGATTTCCAAGAAACTTGAATACAGGTGAGTGGGCATTGGCAGTCACCTTGGCTTCTGTCCAGCTACCAAAGCACAGGTCCAGACCAGTGGGACCCAAGCTAAGCACAGTTCCTCTTTACTCTAGGTCCAGCCAAGGGAACTGCATTGAGCTGCCCCTGATTCCTGTTTAGGTGGATCCTCCCTGCATCTTCTGTAACAGGTGCCCTTGCTGTTGGGTTAGCTTGCTGACTCAAGGGAGGTCCTTGCTTACTCTCATTGTCCCCTTCTGGTTGCCAACACAATTGACAAGGATGTCAGGAGCTCTGGATCTGCCATCTTCAGTGCTGTGTTCCAGAGTGGAGCAGACCTCACCCCTGTAATTTCCCCAGAGCATACAGCCTGAGAGCACCTCCCAAAGCTGCTGTAGAGGCATGTGACCTGCTGTGGGTTGCCTTTGCATTAATTACCTGGCAGGGTTATCAAGCACCACTGGCCTTGTCTCAGAAAAGGGCTTCTTCACAATCAACATTAGAGACAGCACAGAGCTGGAGAAGATGAAAAGCAGTGTGAGCACAAAAGAATAGATGACATTTGGAGAAGGGAGAGCAGATGCAGACATAGAGACTGATTGTAATATGAAGTGACTGAGTGCCAGATGCCTAACTGCCGGCTTCTGGGGGTCTTTCAGGTTAGGACAAAGCAGGCACATGAGAGACCCTGTGGCAGAGGGCATTAGAGTTGACCCTTGGTGGTCTCTTACCCTCTCTGTCCTTTGCTTTTTTTTCTCATCTGTAAAATTTGATAGTAATGCATTCTAACTGGAAAGTAATGGTGAGAGAATGTGGACTAACAGGACAGCTGTCTAACAGGCATTTTAGCCATAATTACCAAGACCCCAGGCACAGGAAGCAGGCAAGGAATTGATAGACACAAAGAATGAAGCTCATTTTGTAGGACTACAGTGGACTTTTTCTTGTAGTTTTGAACCCATATGCTAGGTAAGCACTTAACTAGAGTTTTGTCTACAATCCCCATCTCCATAAAATTATTTATTTTCTGAGACAGGCCTCCACGTATAGCCGAGGCTTGCCTTGAACTCACTCTTTTTGCACAGGTTGACTTCAGATTCACAGCAATCTTCCTGCCTCAGCCTTTCAGGCTTTCAAGGGTTAGGATTACAGGTGCTCAGTGAGTGACAATAGTGTGTGTTTTTTTGTGTGTGTGCTAGGAATTGAATTTAGAGTCTCACATGTGCTAGGTCTACCACGGAACTATATTCCAGCCCAGAGACAGGTTCTGACAAATTATGAAGGTTGGAACTTGCTATGTGGCCTGGGGAGGCCTCAAACTGGCATCCTCCTTCGTCAGTCTCCAAGTAGATGAGCTTATAGGCCTGCACCACCAGGCCTACCTAAAATAGATTTTGATTTAAATGCTTGTCTTGTTTGTTTCCCAGAGCTGACTGTAATCCCAGTTGGTGAACTGGGACTGTGACCCGCTGTTGTGAACTGGCAGTGTTTGCTGGTTTCCCCACTGTGTTTTTGGTTCATCTCTGGCTCCAGGGTGATGGTCTTGAGTGCAGAGCCTGGAAGGAAGAATTGCTCACCCACTGTGGCTGCATTTCCATCATACAGTGCAGCGGACTCAATAGAGCACACTGAAGAGCAGCATGTAGCAAATGAATTGGGAATGATGAGTATAAATATCTATTTGTTTATTTGGTATTTTAAGACAGAGTTTCTCTGTGTAGCCCTGGTTGTCCTGGATCTCACTCTGTGGATCAAACTGGCCTCAAACTCATAGAGATCCTCATGCTTCTGCCTCTGGAGTACTGGGATCAAAGGCATGTGCCATCACTACCTATCTTAAATACTATTTTTCCTAAAAAAAGAGCCTCACACATGCTAGGTCTACCACTGAACCATATTCTAGCCCAGAGACAGGTTTTGATAAATTTGATAAATTAATTTTTAATTTTTATTTCATTATATGTATAGGGAAAACTGCAGAAAGGTCTGGGAATGTAAGAAGGAAAGAGAGAAGGGTGACAGATAGTAGGACAAGAGAATTCGAGAGGACCAGGGCAAGCTGTAGCAGAAGCTGAACCTGGAAAGCTTGGGACCCTGCTAAATGTGGATAGTCTAGAAGAGGAATCTGAGGGTGGATCTATAGATGTGGTTGAAAGACCCCTGTCCCTTAGCCCTTTCTTTCTCAAGTTTGTCTCCTCTTCCTCCTGTCGGCGGCTTCCCCGATCCCCACCCCCGGTGGCCTTTCCCCGCCCGGCCCGAGAACAAGCACCGGGTGGGGCCGGCCCGAGAATGAGCACCAGGTGGGCCAGCCCGAGAACGAGCACCGGGTGGGCTGGCACGAGGGCGAGCACCAGGTGGGTCAGCACGAGGACAAACACCGAGTGAGCCGGCCTGGAGCTCTGCCCCTGAGCCCCCGCCCCGCCCGAAGAGAAACACTCCGTCCCAAGGTCTCCGCCCCCAAGGTCAGCCA